TAACTGTAAGTGGAGTCCTGCGCTCATTTAACCGTGGTTTACATTGAACATGCACTGAACCTTGTAATATTTTTGTAAAGTTACAGTTAAAATAACTGGCAAAAAAGGTACCAGTTAAAATAACTGACAAAAAAGGTGCCAGTTAAATTAACTGACAAAGAAACGCAAGTTTATAACAGTGTATTCGCGGAAAATGAAACTGGTGCGTTTTCATTTACTTATTTCAGTTTTTTGACTTCTGCACTGATCCCAGTTGGAGCAACACGCAATATCATCCTGTTATCCATTGTGTCAGGGCAAAGACGGACTAAATGAAGACAAGTGGGTATGAACACTTCAGAATGAAGTTGTTCCGATCTTAATACACAATTAAAGCATACATATAAATTCATATTTATATACAACGGATATAATATGTTATACGCATATAGTGGATATAATCTGTGTTATGCGTACAACGGATTTTGTCGGTTTTATGCATAGTAGGCTACTATAGCGGATTTCGCTTATAACTCACAAAATAAGTCGGTCCAATTGAATCCGTTATATGCGAGTTCTACTGTATATGGGTTCTACATTTACCGAGGGTCGCATTCGCACGGGATTAATATTACCTAGGATACTATCTCAGGAGCGTTTTACTGAAGGTAAAAGTGGCCGTAAATTTTACTGAGAATGTCCGTAATGATTACTGACTTGGCGCGTTCGGACGGGATTAAAATCCCTGGTAATAATTACATTACCACATGTCACCACGTCAAACTAATCCTGTCCGAATAGGGCTTATGAATCAGGGGAAGTGAGTCGTTCATTCAGCTCGGTAGTATTAATTAAAGACTAATGTTAATAACCAAGGGGATCTCACCTTTCTCTGGTTTCTCTTGGTTGTTGTTTCTCCTGTTCGTTGTTAGTTAGATAGATAGCTACTGCTAGTATTTTTGAATAGGGATATGGGATCTCGTGTTGAGTCATTTGGGTAACATTTAAGTGAGGGGCTAATTCGGTCAGGTTGTGAGGACTAGTTTGACTGTGTTTTAGGCATGGACGCTGGCCTGACCGCAGCTATTTACTGAAGAGTAACGTTAACTAGAGACCTTCTTCGTTCCTCTGATTTCTCTTAGTTGCCGTTGCTAATCGCGGCTAGAGCGCTGGGTACATATCGATACTGGTAGGGTTTTCTTTTTCCAGGCTGTTTTCAGCAGCTCTGGTACATGTTTCATGACGTAAAACTTCACTCCCTCAGAATGTTTGTATGATCTCTCGTTACAAATGCCAGTTGCACCGCTGTAACAACCCATTTTCTTGTGGGGTGATAGCTGGTAAATGGGGTCAATGATGGGTGGTGGGGGAAGGGGAAAGGTGACTTTATCAAGGCATAATAGTTAAGAAATTAAAATGTGTTGTGTTACTATGCTTCCTTTTGTACTACTTCAATGAAAAGGTAAATAAAACGTACTGTAGTTACTTTACTGTTTTTTAGTGCTGTCTGTATTAAAACAAGAATTTAAAAACTAGGAGTGAGATGTTGGTTTGTTTTTAGTTTGTTTGTTAAATGAGACTTGAAAAAGGTGGAAGGCCCCATGCTTGTGTTTGCCTAGGGCCCCTAAATTGCTAAATCCACCCCTGTTCCACATATTGACACAGTTGCTTATAAAATAAATCAAAGGTTGACTTAAAAGATTGTCTTAAAAATGATTTTATTGGTTTAAAATGATTTCATCGCTTTTGCGAAAAAATATAGTCCCTTAGCTCCCACAGAAGGAACTGCATCCATAGCAACATAAACTCTCTAGCCTATTTAGCATTATAATCCATGTTAAAACTGGGCTTTTCTTTTGACAGTGAAGTAATGCAAGGGCAATGGAACTTCTCTATGAACATTTCTTTTTTGTCCTTATTCACTTCTATGTTTCCTTCTTATCGAGTCTTTGCAGTCGAGAGTCACAGCCCTGTTATCATTAGGTATGCGGCTTTGTCAGCATTTTTCCATTTCCTCGACCATTGCACCTGTGCCAATGCAAAGACTGAATGGGATTTTTTGAAAGTCGCAAAATATAAGGTCTTTGAGTAAAATTGGTGTACGTTTTATGTAGTGAGTGTCACGAGCGCCAGCTGACACTCATCAGCCCTGCCTGCCAGCATAGTTCCTGCCACACACACTCAGTATTCAATTATTAGTTTGTTTCTCTCATTTGTTCTCATTTAGATCTCACCTCACTTTAGTATTTAGGTCCTGCTTTGTTCACTTTCCTTTGTTGGTCAGATCATTTGCTTCCCTGCTCATGCTGATTTGGCTTTCTTTCTTTTGGAGGACTAAATTCTTTCTTTATGAAAGCTTGCATGTTTTCTCACGTATCTAAATTTCTCTTTCTAAATTTAACTCTTTCTTCCAGAGCTCGCATATCCCTGTCTCTGTATATCCTTTACCTAATTGGAATTGGCTGTTTTCTCCCTTGGACTCTCCCTGGAGTTTGTAAGCATTTCCTCTTTAGTATTTCCTATTGCTATTGTTCTTGTGTTGTGTGATCATTGTTAACTTTGTACAATGACAAATAAACCAGTCGTTTTGCCTGCTACTTTGTGCTTGGGGTCTCCCTCTATTCCTACCCGTAACAGTGAGATAAATTACGCATTTTTTTATAAAACACTCCATAATCATGAAATATTAATGCTGTGAACAATGTGGTACCATGAACAATAACTGAACTACAAACTGATGCCTACCTTGGCTTTTATAGACAATGTTTGAATGAGCTGATAATCTGAGACCAGTGGGTGATGTAGCTCCATATAATTTGAACCTTAGAATATCGTCAGCAACATTCACCTTGAAGCCTTTCATTTTTGAAAAGGTTTGGAGTATTCAAAAATGAATCTTCTGCCAATTTTTGAAAACCCCATTTTTCCAGCAGACATTGGACTGATAGAGCCAAAGCTAAAAGAATGCTCACGAAGCCGCGCGCAAATTCAAATCACACTGTGACTCTATTGGCACGCCATAGCAATGATTTGTTATACATACCACCAGACTGCCATTCAGAAATAACAGACCGTAAAATGCTGCAATTAACCGATCAGAATTGAGTATTCAACAAAACCATATAATTAGGAGATTGAGATTTGATGTTTTCCTTCAGATTACATTTAGTCAGTAGTGGTCCGTTGGTGGTAATGAAGGCCTTCGGTGACCTCATCTTTCAATGTTTAATTGTTTAATCATTACACAGTTTACTTTGCCTGATTAGCAACTGTTGCTAAGACAAATCAGTAGGATGACCATCAAATTTATGTTTGATGGCATTGTTGCACCACAAAGTTTTCTTCTGCACATTAATGATGACTTATAATGTCCATATGCCTTAATAAATTCTGAAGTTATGTAATGTTAGCTCACAAAATGGCTCAGATTAGCATAAATTAGTTTGCGGGGCTCATTAAGGAAAAAGGTCACAGAATTCGTTCAATATTCTGAATATCGTTGTGGCTAAAGAGTGCCGTGAGGCAGCGGAAAGACAGTGTTATAATCCGAATAAATGAAAAAATCCAAGACCAATGAAAATTGGTGAAAGTTTTGGATTTTGTGCAGTTTTTACCATCCTTGCAGTATCACATCAATTATATAAACATAGCCAATAGACAATTACTTTGTCATTAGAATTTCTTAATCAATACAGTCATGTATTGGTCTTGTTTGTTCAGTCAACACATTGTTTGATTGTGAATCAGGCAAACTTGATTGCAAACAGCTTAAAAGCAATTATGCGCTCAAGGGTGATGTTACTGAAGGCCTTCATAACATCTGACAGCACACCACTGCATTTAGTAATAGGTTGACAAACATGACAAAATACTTAGCTACAGATACTTAAAATGACTTGTGAGGTCAACAGTAGCACCTAGAAACACATAGGCAAAAGCCTGTGGAACAGAGAAAGAAAGATTCATAATTGCCCATGTCAATTAATTTTTAGATATTTTTTTATATATATTGGTTGATTTACTGGTTTCTGCAACTCTATTTCAAATGAGAGTATTTCCCCTGTGTTGTCATTAATGGGTGTTCATCAACACTGTGGTGGGACACACAGACCATTTAGTGTTCGTCTGCTAGGCCAGGCAAGTAATTGATTGCTTGCAGACTGGAAAAAAAATCAATTGATGCATGATGCTTTGCCCAACAGAGAGGCTGCAGCTTTAACACGGAAACCGTTGTTTTTATCTCAACTTCTGCAAGCAACTGCAGTCAGGATGGAAGCAGCAAGGCCATATCAGCCAGTATTTTTTTCCCTGTTCACTGATTTTGTGCAAGGTTGCTTCACTTCACTTTACTGCAGGCAGTAAAAGTCTTAGTCCTTGGGGAAGCCTGTATGTGTGGCTAGTGGGCATCTAATGTTCTTAAAAAAAATTTTTTTTTTCTTTTTTCTAATTTCCTTTCAACACGTTCACTGAATGCATTTCCTGCAAATTACCTGGTAATCAGATGGCTACCCTTACGGACCACTGCTGATTTAGTACATTACATACATTATAAAACTATATTCTAATTGGAAATGACTGCAAAACACAATGCCATTTTATTTGCTGCTAATTTTGCCATTCCATGGTAACAGTATATTCCCTTGTACCCAACATTCACGCATAAATAATTATTAACAGTATATGTACTCTCTAACCTAATTGATACACATTTAGTAGCCACATTATTGGAATCACCTTTTTAGTACAGGGTAGGACCGGTCTTTCCTCACAGAACTGCCAGCATTCTTTGTAGCATAGAATTCAGGAACTGAAAGCACCCCTCAGAGATAATGGTTGATTTTGAACTGGTAGCATTCAACAGTATACTCTCTGCAGAGTTGGTGGCCACAAATTTATGCAAAGACTCTTCAGTTCCACCATATCCCAAAGGTGTTCTATGGGATGGAGATCTCAATTCTATAGAGGACTTTTGGGATTCACTTTTGAGACCTGGTGTATGCTTGTGTGGCAGGCCGAAGGAGGGCCCTGGCGGGGAATTGAACCCCAGACTCCCGGGCAAGAGCCAAACGTGCTGACCACATCGCCCAAGGTAGCCAGGGCGCGCACTTATTAGGAGGCATCTTTAGTAACAGGACCCATCAACTGTCAGTCGAAGGGTCCTGTCACTAGAAGTGTCTGCCTAATAAGTACGCGCCCTGGCTACCTTGCCAACGAGCCTGGCTCTTTGGCGATGTGGTCAGCGCATTTGACTCTTACCCAGGAGTGTGGAATTCAATTCCCTGCCCGGACCCTCCTTCGGCCTGCCACGCTTGTGTTGATGTTGGGGTTTTCTTGGCGACCATAAAAGGGGTCTTCTTCCAATCTATCGGGAACTCACTCAAAGTACAAGTGAAGATTTGGCGGGTTTCTCCACCAGTCACAGACCATTTGAGAGCAATGAAGTGCATGTAGAGAGGCATGTAGAAATAAAATGTATGGACTCTTTAATTTTATATTTTAATTTTTGTAATAACTTCATTGATTTAAAATTAATTTGTTGTTTGTTTCTCAATTTTTAACTTTTAAAGAATAATCTTAGCACATTGGCCCCCCCTCTTACTATTCATCATTCTTTACAGCCCAAGTTACGCTAGTGCCTGACCTGGCTGCGAATTTTTTTTTCTGCAGGTCGGTTGGTACCATTACATACATCAGCCAATCACAGATGGGCTCTGGTACAATTGTACACGTGCCATCAGCCAATCACAGCTTCGCTATACACATGCATCCATGAGAATGGAAACGCATTCGACATTGTCTCTGTCAGCTGAATCATGCACGCGGCAAATTTATGAATGCTTGTCTTACAATAACAATGTAAATGCTTCACAATATGTGAAATTACAAGTACACTTGCTGGTCTGCCTCAGAAGTCCAATATTTATTAGCCTTGGCTTCGGTGACTTATACTGCAGATCGGAGAGCAAATTTTGTGATATCAGACTGTTTTTCCATTACCAGTTTTTTATTTTGCTATTTAGATTTTGCGCATTTCTAAGGGTATTAAATGGAAATGCACCTTGAGAGTGAGGACAATGTCCGATGTTATTAGCCCCAAAAACGCAGTCTGCTTCGTGACCGTAGACTGTTCGTGACACAGACTCCTTTTTGAGGCATTGCGCTGATAAGCATATGGTCGTCACTGGAGTACATTGGGGAGGGTTTACCAGTTAGTTTCTGAATCAGTATTTCTGAACATTTGCTGCAATGACAAAATACAATTCTACTGACCGCTAGCCAATTATCTGAACCCCAAAGAAGACAAACTATAAATCTATAAGAACCGCAGCTTCTCTCATCTTTATCGTAGGGGAGACTGGGGTTACTTCGGCCACGGGGTTAGGTCTGTCACCCCAGTTTTTTTCATTGCAAACGCACTGGCGGGAAAACGAAATAGTACAAATTATGTTACATCCCAGCGACGTCATCTCTTGGAAAAAAGAAGGACTAGTAGTGTCATGTAAGTGTTTTCTGCCTAAATAACTGAATTTTGACCCAAATTGTAAACTTTAAGTTTCTGAAAGAAATGTGTCTTGCTTCTTTGAAGACAAAGATTTCCATGGTGGTTTTACTGTTTCATAAACATAAGTAACTAGAGTTATTAACGACATATAAGATAAAGGCCTGCTGCGATCAAGTGATGAGAGTTGTGGCCTAATTTCCAAAATAGTCGCATGGGGCTACACTGGCCAAGCAGCATGGGGTTAGTTCGTCAGGGTGCAGTAGCCCCAGGTATGCCGAAGTTGCCCCGCTTGTACACGACTTAGCTGTCAGGAAGCCTCAGCCAGCCTCTCTTGTCCGGGCAACGGCCTTCAACGAACACTCAGTTTGTTATTTCTTCACCAAGTTGAGTGAGCTGTATGACAAGCACAAATTTGAACCCAAAGACATGGGTGACAGATGAACCCAGTGTTACAACGGTACAACAGCCTGGGTACGTAACCTTATGACTAAACTGTAATAATCTAATGTATGTTTGTGATATATCAAAAATTGAATATTGTGATGTAAATATATGTTTTATTGAGATTGTATCAATACATGCTTTGTAGGCGACATTCTGCACTACACATATACCATAAAGGTATTTCTCTAAGTTTTAGCAACAGAGAGTTATGAAGCGAAATACAAAATCATGACGAGGTAACCCTGGTCTCCCCTACTCTAATGAAAATAAATCATCTTGCACTCGGACCAACCAATCACCTATTTCATACATGCTACGTGAATAATCATGTACATTCGGGACTTCAGATCAGAGTGGAAGAGCGCATCCAATCTAATCCATCAGGATAGAAGGTTCATGATTGATATTGAAACGAGCTAGCTAAATAAAACCATTTGCCACTGGATGCATGCATCCATAGCTCGTATCAACATCAATCTCTTACTTTCTGTCCTGATGGATAAAGTTCTTCGGTAGGATTATTTACTTTGATCCCTAGAACACGTTCATGTTTATCAATCGACAAAAATGTATTTTTCCGAAATGCACCTTTAACATTAAATTCCGTTATGCGCAGATGCAGCAGCCCCAGGAAATCTTCCTTAACCCCCCATACACAAGATACAGTCGAATGGGAGGAAGGTGAGCACTATACGCTACAAGATGATATATAGCCTACAACAGTCCCTGAATAAAAGGCTTTGAGGTTAAGATTTCTGTAAAATGAATATTTTTGCAAACTTGCTGGGCCACCTTAGTGTACAATTATTGAAATGAACTGAAAAACTGGCACACTAAGACAGGTTTGTGAGTTAGTTTTATTAAAAATGCAAAGTTGATGTTTCCTTGCAGGTTAGCCATACTCAGCTCATTCCAATCAAATAGTTAGCCTGTATCACAACTATGTGTAGCCAATGTAGCCTATAACCTACTGTTAAGGCCTATGACAAATTCTAATTATATGATTCTTTCGGGTGCTTTAGAGTCAGGGCCATCTTGAAGCCATGAGGCAACCACAGAGGAGACCAGTGATGAAATATAATCTATATATACAGTATAAATATATACACTGCCCTCCATAATTATTGGCACCCCTGGTTAAGATGTGTTCTTTAGCTTCTAATAAATTCAGTTTTTTTCTAAATAATATAGGACCACAATGAAAAAAAGAGGAAAATCCAACCTTTAATTCAAGTGCATTTATTCAGTGGGAAAAAATCCCACATTAAGAAATAATTCTTTTACATCAAATCATGTGTGCCACAATTATTAGCACCCCTAATGTTAATACTTTGTACAACCCCCTTTTGCCAACAAAACAGCACCAATCTTCTCCTATAATGTTTCACAAGATGGGAGAATACAGAAAGAGGGATCTTCGACCATTCCTCTTTGCACAATCTCTCTAAATCATCCAGCGACCTGGGTCCTCTCCTCTGCACTCTCCTCTTCAGCTCACTCCACAGGTTTTCAATGGGGTTGAGGTCTGGGGACTGAGATGGCCATGGGAGGAGCTTGATTCTGTGTCTGGTGAACCATTTCTGTGTAGATTTGGCCACATGTTTAGGGTCATTATCTTGCTGAATGACCCAGTGACGACCCATCTTCAGCTTTTGGGCAGAGGCCACCAGATTTTGATTTAAAATGTCCTGGTATTTCAAAGCGTTCATGATGCCATGCACCCTAACAAGGTTCCCAGGGCCTCTGGAAGAGAAACAGGCCCACAGCATCACCGATCCTCCCCTATACTTCACAGTGGGCATGAGGTGCTTTTCTGCATACTCATCTTTTGTGTTCCGCCAGACCCACTTAGAGTGTTTGTTGCCAAAACGCTCTATCTTGGTCCCATCTGACCAAAGCTCACGGTCTCAGTTGAAGTCCCAGTACCGCTTAGCGAACTCCAGACGTTTGCGTTTTTGATTGTGAGTGAGAAAAGGTTTTTTCCGTGCATGCCTCCCAAACAGCCTGTTGGCATGTAGATAGCACCTGATGTTTGTTTTGGAGACTTTGTGACCCCAAGATGCTACCATTTGTTGCAATTCTTTAACAGTGAGCTTTGGAGAACTTTTTATTTCTCTTACCATCCTCCTCACTATGCGTGGTGGCAAAATAACCTTGTGTCCTCGTCCAGGCTTGTTTACTACTGTTCTAGTTGTTTTAAACATCTTAATGATTCCTCTGACAGTAGATATGAGCAGGTGCAGGCGAGTGGCTATTTTCTTGTAGCCATTGCCTGACTTGTGAAGGTCGATACACATCTGCCTTACTTGAATGGTGTGTTCCTTTGTCTTTCCCATGTTGAAGAGTGGATAAGAGAAATGGCCTCTGTGTCACGTCATATTTATACCCCAGGGAAACAGGAAGTGATGAATTACTAAATAAATGTTCCTAGATACTCTGATCAACTTTGTAAACTACTGTAGAAATGACAGAAATACTTCAATTACATTTATTTCCTAGGAATTGTTAGAGGTGCCAATAATTGTGGAACAGGTGATTTTATGAAAATTAATTATTTCTTAGTGATTTTTTTTTTTTTTTTTTCCCCTTAAAATTCACTTGAGTTGAAGGTTACATTTTTCTACAATTTTCAGTGTGAGAGTATGCTTCTGCAATAAAAATTGAATTTATTTTAAGGCTTTTAACACATCTTAACCAGGGGTGCCAATAATTATGGAGGGCTGTGTATATATATATATATATATATATATATATATATATATATATATATATAGTGTGTGTGTGTGTGTGCTATATATGTGGGGGGGGGGCCCAAATTGATTTCCAGTCATAGAGCCCAAAATTGCCAGCGGCGCCCCTGGTTGAGGGGCATTGTGGTTCTGACGTTCCAGGCGCACGGCCTTCGTCACCTCCAACAGGACAATGCACGGCCGCGTACAGAATGTGTCAGCGTGGACTTCCTGCGTCAAAACAATGTGAATGTTATGGAATGGCCTTCTCTGTTACCGGATATAGCCCCTATTGAGCATGTGTGGGACAAACTGGGTCGCAGGTTAAGCAGAAGTGCCATAGACAATCTCGATAACTTTGAGAGGGCGCTCATCCGTGAATGGGATGTAGTCCCGCAGGCATTCTTCCAGAGACT